GTCCATTGGCAGGACAATACTTAAATATAATATATGCATATGACTGATATCCTAGAGTCCCTGAAACAAAAGGAATGTGGTGTGTAGATGTAACCAACGATCTTATTAAATAAGAAACACAGAGCCGATTCAGAGAAGAAAGCCAAGAGGTCAGAGCTAAGAGCCTCACCCTTCCTGATTCAGGGATCCTCTTCAGCCAAGAGAGCTCTCCGAAAAGGGACCTACTTCCTGTGTGAATGTCTTTTTAAAGTCTTCCTGTTCTGCCTTCTCATTGGTTGTAAACCCAAACATGTGACTGCCTCATCACTGCCTGAATGTACCACCCTCCAGGTCCTTAAAGGCATACGCCACCGCCGCCACGCACTTGCTATGGCTCTGATAGCTCTGACCCCCAGACAACTTTATTTATTAACATACAATTAAAATCACATTTCAGTACAAGTAAAATACCACCACAGTGGTGCATCTATGTGAAGAGATGTCAATATAGATAGATGCACTGAGTCCTCTATCCAAAGGTTCCACATACCGGCATTCAATGAATCACAGAAAAACAGTAAGTAATAATTATTTATTAATTATCTGCTGCACATGTGCAGACTTTTTATTATTATTCTGTAAACAGTACAATTGTTTACAAACATTCTCGTTATGTTAGATATTAGAAGTAATCTAGCGGTAAATGACTCCAAGTATATAGGACAGTGTGCATGGGTTATATGCAAGCACACCAACTTTTGTCAGGGCCTTGAGCCTCCTTGGCTCTTGGTATCTATGGTAGGGTGATGGTCTTGGAACAAATTCCCCACAAACATGACTCACGTGAGAGCAAACTGAGAATGTCATCTACAGAAAGCTAACTTGGAAAGGACACACAAGAAGTAGGCAGCAGGACTCATCTCCAGGGAAGAAACTAGTATTTAGGAGACAGAAAAACAATATTAGATTGACTTATAATTTTGTACCTCTTTCCTTTTGATCTTAAGAAAAACATTATCCATATACACAAAAACGTTTAATATGTTTAAGGCCTGTAGGCTATATAAAACTAAATCAGTTCAGCCCTTAATGTGTAGTCTTAATCACAGCAAAAAGAACCCATGGGTCCAGGGAAAACATTTCAACCTTCTTTTCCTTCTTTGTCTTATAATAGTCTCATAATTTCTCATTAGTTTTTCTTCCCACAGAACTCACGACTCATCTTCCCAAAGTCTCTTCTCCCAACTTGGATGTTTGTGTTAAATGCTGTTTTGGTGATGGGACTCATCAATAAATAAGAGAAAGATCCATGCCCTTGTGTAGTTTGGATGCTGTGGGTCCTATCTGAAAGAAATACATACCACAAAATAAAGACGAATCATTTAGTGGGTTGAGATGAGAAATGCCATGGAAAACAGAAAAAAAAATGAAGCAGGAAGAGGGAGGGTTGGGGGATAGAAGAAAGAGCTTTGTAATATTAAATAAGATGAAACTGGTTGTACTGAACAAGATGACATATGAGAAAGATCTCAAGAAAGGGATGAGGAGTTAAGCCATATGGTCATCTTGGTGCAAGAGTTTTACTCAAAAGGAGACTGAAATGATCCTAAGGCGGGTTATACCAGGTGCCTTTGAGAGACACCAAGGAATCCACTGCAACTAGAACTGGGACTGAGGAGTAAAATGAAAGATGAAGTCACAGAATATAAGGAGGGCTGTGAGGATCAAGCAGATCTTGTAGGCATGGCAATGTTGACTCTTAAAGGGAACTAAGAGCCACTGTGGTAAGAAGCCACTGTGGTTTCCCATGGTGACCGACACTCTCTCATCTTCATCCAAGAACTGAGTCCTGAGACTTGCAAGGACACTCACCATCATGCCATGTCATGCAGTGAGTACCACAGCACCTTGTTCCTCCCTGCAGGTGACTGTTAATACATCATCATCTTGAGTGATGCTCAAAGGTCCTGAATGGAGCTGCAAGTAAGCATTTAGACTCCTGTACCAGACAGTTCTCTGGTGCTTTTGTCAAGGAAATGCAGTCCATTCCTTCATTGATAACACTGTTTCAGTGGCTTTATTAATTCCTCCTTTGAGCATATGTTGCTGCTACCAGTGAAGTATTCTTTCTCCCAAGCACATTCCATACTACCTGCTTCCTTTGTCTACCATTAACCAGCTCCCCAGTTCACTCTTTTTCCATAATTCTCCTATGAAGACTTTTATACCACCGCCAGTGCCTGGGCTCCCCAAAGCTCCTTTTCTCCCAATACTCTCAAGTCCTACTCAGAAATACCTCTTGACCTCAATCTTCAGCCTTTGGTGTTCTGTATGTATATGGTTAAAAGCCTCCTCCTGAGCACCCTCAGGAACTGGCATTTTAATCAAGGCATCCAGTTTTAATGAGAGCAAAGATTGCACATAGGATGCTCCTTCCATTATTTTTTGTCTTAGTCTTCTTCAAAACAGCTCATATCTTGTTTTTTTCTAAAATAAAAAAAATCATACACAAGTATAATGCATTTTGATCATAGCCATTCCAGTTCCCACCATGCTCTCCCACATCTCTTTCCAATTCATGTTCTCTCTCTCTCTTTCTCATATATATATATATATATATATATATATATATATATATATATAGAGAGAGAGAGAGAGAGAGACAATTATATATTATACAGATATAAAAATTATTATATATGTACATAACACACATATGTGTGTATGCATATATGTATGCATATATATATACACACATTAGTGTTGTCTGTATGTACATGAGTTTAGGGCTGACCATTAGGGCTTAGACAACATATCATGGGGCTTGTCTCTTCAGAAAACTGACTTTCCCTCTCAGCAGCCATAGACTGCCTGTAGCTTCTCAACTGGGGGTGGGGCAGGGACTACTGTGAGCCTTACCCCTATCCACATTTGGGATGTTGACTAGTGTGCTCTTCTGGGGGTCTTGGCAGGCAGCCAGAGATGTTGAGAGTATGTGGAAACAACACCCCTGCCATGTCCAGCCGAAACTCTTCTACAGCAGTCCTCGGGTCCTCTGACTCTTACCATCTTTCTGGTTCCTCTTCGTGAAGTTCCCTGAAGAGCTCCTATTGCTATCAGAAGCACTGGGTTTGTCAAAAGTACCTTAATCCTGTTTGAACACTAGGATCAGTGGTTTGAGGTTGGTACTTGCCCTGTTTAAGGTGTGACTTAACACAATGGTTCCAGTGTTAGAAGTTTGATCCCACTGTGGTGGTTGTGAGAGGCAAGGGAGCTTTAAGGGCTGGCATCCAGGGCAAAGTCACAAACTAGGAACTCTCCAGTGTTCTGGCTTCCTGTCTCCCTACCCCTTCCACCTTGTTACTATATGCCATGGTATGATACAGTCACGATGGCCTTTGAGAGAGCCTGTGCCACATGGCATTTTCAGTCCTCAGATTTTCAGCCTCCAGACTGATAACTAAATAAACCTCTTTCCTTTGTGAACCCCTTGCCTCAGGCATTTCATTACAGTAGCAAAACACAGACTGATAGAATATGATATGACAGGTCCGGCACATAGAACATGACAAAAGTGTTTTAATCCTTGGATAGGAGGGTCTGGTAGCACTGGATATACTGTTTAAGCATTTTTGACGATAAGGTCTCTAAGACTTGCAATTATTCCAAAATCTCATGTACATTTCTTAGGTTATTAATCCTGAGCTAGAGCAAAATTTTTGGGTATAGTTCCAAGATGTTACAATCATTCCATGGGCACCATAAAAGTGGTGTGCCTTTTAAATTTTCTGGGGTGGTTGTCAAAATGACATCTGATCATTTTTCCCACATTTTATTAATATTCCCCTTCAAAGAGTATTGTCCAGATCAACCACCGTGAAGATTCAGTATGAAAACACAGGCCCAACCATTCAAAAACTACTCGTGTACACAACCCACAGAAACACCTGTGTGCATTCTCCCATTAAAGAAACTGCTCATCCTAAGGATGAAAAACCAGGTGTCCCCAGCTTATGCCACCCTCCCATGACTTTAGCCTGTATGCCAGGGTGTCATACTAATAAATCATTCATTACTCTGTGCATCCAGGCTCTGTGGAGCAAGAAGCCAAGTCCTATTAGGTTAGACTTGAAGAGACCTGTATCTGCTTCACACAGTGCACATGGCCCTATGCACGGTTTAAGTTCACACAGCTCTTTAACCGACCCCCAGTGCTAACAACTTAATGGGACACAGAGGCATTATAGCCTGCAGATTTTTAATTAAAGTTTCAGACTCCCCCAGGACATGCACAGTACTGCAATTAACACTAATTGGCATTACACATGATTAACAAGTGGAAAACATGGTTTTTCTGAAAATGCTTCTTTTCTCCCATGAATCTAAGAACCTGATGGATGCATACAAAGATGAGTAGGATGATACCCAGCCTGTGTTACATTAGCACAACTCTGTAAACAACTTCTATACACGCAAGAGAGGAGAGAGAAAGACAGTAATTAACGTTACAGATGATTGGTCCTATAAGCGCTTTAAATGTTACACGAAAAACAAAGTTCTAAATCACAGGATTGGCACAATATCACTTTTATCCACAACACAGATGCACACAAGTCTAGAAATATGTATATACTGAACTATAAAGGACAATTAATTATCTCTGGGTAGTGGCAACTGTGCCAGTGTTTATCTGAGTCATTTGAATGTGTTGTTTTATAATGCAAAAAGGACAGGTTGTTTTGCCAAATCCATCCATTCTTGCAGAATAAATGCAGCGAAGAGGTGTGTATAGAATGTTTTCATCCCTCATCTATGTCAGTCCCTGTATTAGGCACTGAGGATTCTGCGTCAATGATGGATTGACAGATTTTTAAATCACGAGAGGAAGCAGGGTTATCGACGTGAGGAAAATCAAATGTTGGAGGAGGCTGCTGCGCATGCCCATCCTTCTGTTCACACCAACTCCGTCGTGCCGAAGGCCCTCCCTGGAGAGTGCGCTGATGTCTTTACTTCTCTTCCAGAGCCCAAGATGATTGTCCTGCTCTATGTGACAAGTCTTGCCATCTGTGCAAGTGGACAACCTCGGGGCAATCAGGCCAAGGGAGAGAGCTACTCTCCAAGGTACATCTGCAGCATTCCTGGCTTACCTGGCCCCCCAGGCCCTCCTGGAGCCAATGGCTCCCCTGGGCCCCATGGTCGCATCGGCCTTCCTGGAAGGGATGGTAGAGATGGCAGGAAAGGAGAGAAAGGCGAAAAGGGCACTGCAGGTAAGTAAAGATGAGGTTCTGCAAACACCCCCTCCACCGCTCCTTAAACCCCTACCTTTGTCCCCTCTTCTCAGTGGGAACTGCTCCTTCAGTCACTTCTCTACCTCACCTTCCTTAATCATAACAATTGGCTTTACCCTGCCTATGCTTCAAATGCTACTTTAACTCTTTGCAGCCTTAGGGACAACTTTCTCAGGTGGACATTGTTACGTTGGGAAGGTAAGAAACCCAAGCCTGGTTAAAGGCACTGCAGGAGATGAGCATAGACGGGACTGCACTGCGCAGGAGATGAGCATAGACAGGAATGCACTGCGCATGAACGCTGGAGCTCAACTTCCAACAACTGACGCCTGGAATGACGGGACAACGGCTGGATATATGGAAGTTTGAACAGACAGACAAATGGGCCAGAGCAAGGAAAGAATTGGAATTTGGAAACTCGGTTTACCACCCTGCTCAGAGTTAATATTCTAAACAAATATTCTGGGGGGTGGGGAAAAACAACAACAACAACAACAAAACCAAATATTCCTCAAGATATTCTAGATTTCTTCCATGTATACAGCTAGAAGAATGGTGTCATATAGCCGGCCTTTCCTCACTCAGCACTCTCTCCCACCTGCCCTGCTACATAGCTCTTTGAGAAAGGAGAACTGTCCTCTAGTCCTCGATAATTTTCAGGCTTTCCCCCCTACAGATAAGTTAGCCTGGGAAGCCTGCCAGACTCCACAGTCCTTCAGAGAAAACCAAATTGAAATTCTCCAGAGGTTGTGTTAACTCTACAAGAGGAAGGGATTTGGAATCAATCTTTGAAAATACGCTTCTGAGTGTACAAGTTAGACAAAAGATAAGAAGGAAAAAAAACACATAGATCTAAAAAATATGCCTCTACCCAATCACCACACCTGATTTACTGGGGTTCTGTGCCACAGTGCCACAGTATATATCCAGATTATTGGCTAATGTGTCATTTCCAAACACTCCATGCGGAACGTGTGGGTCAAATCGATAGCTGTCAGATGCGTGAGCATTGTTCAATATTAAAGAACCTTATGTAAAGATTCAATGTCAGATAAACCTTGGATTTGGAGCTTAAATGTAGTTATTCAAAGGTGGCTGTCTATAAGGTAGCTCATGTGAATACAAATTATTACCGAGCCATGATTATAAATATCCTTAAAATTCTATGACACAGAGATTATAGTTCTGTATGACTGACCTTTTCAGCTTGCTGTGTCTGAAAGGAAGAGTGTAGTGGCTAATCATACAAGCATTGGCACCAGAGAAACAGACTCAAACCTTGGCTCTTTCAGTTAACTTTACTTAACATCCTTTGGGCAAATAGTCTCTTTGAGCTTCATTTGTAAATTGGCAATAGTAAGTTTTTAAATTGTGAAGTTTAAAGGTAGCCATATATGCAGAACATCCTATAGAATAATTGCCACATGCTAAGTACTTGGTAAATGTTACATATTGTTAATTATTAAATTTTGATCCACAGGTCAAAGATAAGTCTGTAGCCACCCAAAGCCACAGAGTAAACAAAAAAAATGATTAATATATCCATTAAGTAGTTCCACTGTTATTTCAGATAGGATTTAATAATCCTTAAATGCTACAGTTTTAGCCCTATGAGGTCAAGGATAGTCCTATATACAGCAACCTATTCATCCCTCTATGTACCCATGCACTATTTACTCAGAAACATTTTTGTGTACCTCTAACTACCAACTTTTATTTCTAGAGAGTGCTTTTCAGCCTCCACACCAGTGTCATTTAGTGCTGAATAATTTCCATGGCAGGGTGAGGTGTTCAGAATGGTGTTTGACAGCATGTCCCTGGATATCAGTGGCACACCCCTCCCAACTGTAGCAACCAAAACTGGCTCTAGACCAGTGGTTCTCAACCTGTGGTCTGTGACCCCTGTGGGAGTCAAATGATCCTTTAACAGGGGTTGCATATCAGATATTATGCATATCAGATATTTGCATTATGATTCATAACAGTGGCAAAATTACAGTTATGGAGTAGCACCAAAAATAATTTACAGTTTAGGGTCACTACAATGTGAGGAACTGTATTAAAGGGTTGCAGAACCACTGCTCTAGACATTGCAAACTGTTTCCAGGGACTCAGCTGCTTGAGAAACTGTGCTAGTCACTGGTAACATGGATATTTGTCAGGGAGTGAAGGGAAAGGATTATCTAAGTACATCACTGCAGTAGCTCTAAATACTGACCATCTATTAAGAATTCACTATGTGTTAATATTCACCATTATAGTCTATAGTAACTGTAACATACAATAAAATAATGCTACAAGTAAAACCATTGAGATTAAAAAATAAAGTGACTTTTCCAAGCGAAGATTATGCAAATCCAACAGCCACACCTAAGGCTATACACAGCTCATAGAGGACACTGATTGAAATTGTGAAGGGATGCACATATCACTCAGAAACCACATTTGCAAAGTGGCTGGCAAATTGAGTCCACGCCTGGGAAGTTCTGTCCAGTGCTTCCTCTCCAGTGACAGCACCGAGTCTTTTCATTTGTACACCCTTCTTGGATACCAGACTGTCGTCACCTCACCAAGTCCAGGCAGAACTAACTGTATTCTTCTCCCAACTTTGCTACCCTAAACTAGAAATGAAGAGATTATTACACCAAATTATAAATTCTCTGCAAAAACATATCTCACTGGTCTGTAGCAAGCATCATATACAATATGTATTAATATATTTATATTAATCACATTCAATTAAATCCAAATGCATGCTCATTCAAATATTGCCACAACTATATCCTAAAGCATTATTATATCTTTTGGTTGCAAGCTTAGCCTTTAACAGTTGAGCCATCTCTCAAGCCTTCTTGAAGCTTTCTTCATTCCAGTTTAATATAAAGATTTTAGTATATAGCCGGGTAGTGGTGGCACACTCAGGAGGCAGAAGCACGCTGATCTCTGTGAGTTCAAGGCCTGCCTGGGCTACAGAGTGAGTTCCAGGAAAGGTGCAAAGCTACACAGAGAAACCCTGTCTTGAAAAACAAAACAAAAACAACAAAAAAAAGATTTTAGTATGTATAAGCCTATCACACTGTGCCCCTATCACATATTAGAGTAATCAGACATTACATGGTTCTAAACATAAGGTAGATGTGTGGATGGATGCATAAATCCACTGATGGAAGGAAGGAAAGAAAGAAGGACAGATGGATGGCTAGACAGATGATGCATGGATGAAAGGAAGGATAAAGTCATTCTAAAGAGAAAATCTACATAGGCCCCTTTGAGAGAGAACTAAAGAAACTCTATATGGCTAAGCTTCAGTACATACACATGTTTTAATCCTTAATGCATAATGATTTATCCTTTGTTTTTCCTCCTGAGTATATAGTCTCCTGGTATATAGGAAAATTCTCCATATAAAAAAGGAAGAAATCATATATATATGTATGTGGGCATACATATATATATATATATATGATTTATTTATTTACTATGTATACAGTGTTCTGCCTGCATGTATGCCTGCATGCCAGAAGAGGAGGACCCCAGATCTCATTATAGATGGTTGTGAGCCATCTTGTGGTTGCTGAGAATTGAACTCAGGACCTCTGGAAGAGCAGTCAGTGCTCTTAACCTCTGAGACATCTTTCCAGCCTCCATATACATTATTACTACATTTACTCCATGACTAGGTAATTTGCAGTTCAGGGTATTAAATATGTATTACAAGGAAAAAATTAAGCACTAAGATTGTGAAGAGTTCCTCATATTTATAATTTGCATTTCAGTATTTATGAGCTGTTCTCAATAAGTTTTCAAGAGGGTGAGACCTTGAGTAACCTATGCCAAACCTTTATTACAATGACTAGGCAGCCTAAGCCAGAAAGACTTACACCTTCTTCAGATTCACTACCCAGTCCACAGCTGAAGTGGATTCTATCTCAGACATGCTCAGTCACTATTGACTGTGTTGCCTGCTAAGTTGGAGTAGACTTATATCCAATGTCTCTGTACTCCAAATAGAGCCCTTCAAGCCAGAAGAGGAGTGACTAACCCAGAATCTTATAAGCAGCATGATTTGAGTTTGTAACAAAGTCCTATGGTTAAAATTGTCCGTGAAACACGAATGGTTTGTATTGGAGATCTGTGGTGAAGGCAGAAGAGGTTAAACTGCTATTGAAGCTCAAATCCAGATTTCAGACTTTGTAGTCTTTGATTCGTGCATGGCAAAAGAAGTTTCTACTCCCTTTCTACCCCAAAGAATCAAGCACTGATGAAGCTCAGACTGTTAGGACTTTGTTTCAGGAGACACCTATCATGTGGGTTCTGCTTGGACCAGTAGAGCTTCAACTTAACAGGACCGTCTGTGTTAAGGGGACATGACTGTTGTTGATAAGAATGCTGATCTTGTCTCACCGACAGCGGTGACATTCACTGACAATAACCTCCACGTGTCATAAACTGCTACACAGCCATTTCATAAGGATTAAAGCACTGTGCTTGACATTTTAAGGGAAAAGCTTTAATTCTCCCAAGCTTTACATTACCAAGATATTTCCTTGTTAGTCTTGCCAATTAACAGGAAAAAAGAATCAAGTTATCACATGCATGCACTGAAGTATGTACAGCACTCCAATACTTGATAACAAAGCACCAGCAAAATAAAGGGCTTAGCTGAGTAAGAGTCCCTGAAAAGAAAACCATGGTTACAAGTGAAACCAGGCATTAACAATACATTTCCTGAATGACAATATATATATATAACTGAAGACCAACAATTTGGATACTTTGGATGGAAATACTATTTATAGTATCCAAGTACTATTTATGACATGGATTTGGTCACAAAATTAAAACCTTTTATTACACTAATTATTGCTGTTTTATAAAAGAAAAAGTCAATTTTGCTGATGGCTTTCAATTAAGATTATTTTTTCTCTATAGTTAGCCTCTAGTTAACCTGCAGATGTAAAGATTTGGACATGCAGAAAATAATCCTATACAGTGACTTAAAATTGATTGAAGTTCTTTCACATCCATTGTTTTTTCTATATGTAAGGGGCCCCAGAGAGATTAGGAGTTAAGTCTAAAGTGATACATTCAGTGGTAGAGCCAGCTGCAGGATAAGAGGCATTCAGATGGAGGGGAGAAAGACACCATGAGGTTGGGAAGGCTTAGGATCTTTCTAATTCTAATGCATAATCAAGTCCCTTTGCCTCCTCGGGACTCAGCTTTCTCCTCCCAAAGCAGAACTGCAGATGATAAAAGCAGCCATCATTTTTTAGTTACAGTAGCATACGATGCCCCAATGTTCCAGGTTCACTTAAAGTTTACAGGGTCAATCAAACCCATTTCCCTAGAGGATGGGGTGCCCAGGCTCCAGAGTTGGACAGGCATGTGTTCAGATTGCAGCTCCATCACTTAGTAGCTTTGTTCTCTTGATTCAGTTTCTTTATCTGCAATGAAGTTAACAATTCTTAGTTTTTAAAGTTGTTGTGAGATTTAAATATGATAATGCATGCAAATGAAACATTTAAATTGGTCCTGGTATATAGTAAATAGTTGATAAATAGCAAATTTGATTTTGATTAATTATTTTTTTATTAACACTAACAGGGATAGAATGAGACAAAGACTAAGCTGTCTCCAAAGCATCATCTGGTTCTGTCTCCTCTCGGGACTCATTGTAGGAAAAATACCAGCATGCTCTCTGATGTCTTTCTGTAGTGGCAAGTATCTGGATATGATAAATATGCACCAGGTGATATGTCGTCAAAATAATAGTTTATTAGTCTAATTAGTCTAGGTCTAATTGAAGTCTCAAATACTGGAGAAAGCCTATGTGAAGTTTTTCTTTTTTAGTATATCAATGATTTCCAAATGCCTTTTAATTAGCAGGAAGCTGTTGATAGTTTACTAACAAGATATGATTGGAGTGTGTTAGCAGTGTGTAGGGATGTTGTGTGTGACTCTCTAGAAGAACTATTAATTTAGCTATGAATTGTTTTTGAAGGTCTAAAAGGTAAGACTGGACCGCTGGGCCTCGCTGGTGAAAAAGGAGACCAAGGAGAGACTGGGAAGAAAGGACCCATGGGACCAGAGGGGGAGAAAGGAGAAGTCGGTCCAGCTGGGCCTCCTGGACCAAAGGGAGACCGAGGAGATCAAGGGGACCCAGGGCTGCCTGGAGTATGCAGATGTGGGAGCATTGTGCTCAAATCTGCCTTTTCAGTTGGCATCACAACCAGCTACCCAGAAGAAAGGCTACCCATCGTATTTAACAAGGTCCTCTTCAATGAGGGGGAACACTACAACCCGGCCACAGGGAAGTTCATCTGTGCTTTCCCGGGGATCTATTACTTTTCTTATGATATCACATTGGCCAATAAGCACCTAGCCATTGGGCTGGTGCACAATGGGCAGTACCGAATAAGGACCTTTGATGCCAACACAGGGAACCATGATGTGGCTTCAGGGTCCACAGTCATCTACCTGCAGCCAGAAGATGAAGTCTGGCTGGAGATCTTCTTCAATGACCAGAATGGCCTCTTCTCAGACCCAGGCTGGGCAGACAGCTTATTCTCTGGATTTCTCCTCTACGTTGACACAGATTACCTGGATTCTTTATCAGAAGACGATGAGCTGTGACCAGGACTGCAGACATGAACGTTACATCATGAATACCACGAAGGCTTACACTTGGATTCAATCTGGGGAGCTGGAAGGTCGAGCAAGTGAGAAGGGGATTCAGAAACTCCTTTTACAGACAGCTCTGGCAGAATTCATCAAAATAAGGCAAACCACCGACCAGCTGAAATCACAACAAAACTAATGGTATAGAATAGCCCCAGACATGAAACCCTTGAAAGTAATGATGATAAATATTTAAGAAAATGAAAGATAATTTTAACAAATTTGAATGCCCTTAAAGATACAACCAGCAGGTAGTGACCCTGACTCATTAAACATTCATAAAACTCCAGTTTTGTTTGTTATTTAGGATAATCATAACATTACAGACAAATTCTTTGACACTTCTCCGGAGTCAAAGAAAAGCAAGAGATACTAAGAATTTTCTAACAAATTAAAATGGAGTGATAAATTATTTATTCCTTTTTGCTTTTATATGTACACTCCACAACTCTGTGTGTGTGTGTATGTGTGTGTGTGTGTGTGTGTGTGTGTGTGTGTGTGTGTGTGTGTGTGTGTGTGTAAGCCAGAAGACAACATCAGCTGTCACTCCTCAGGTGTCGTCCATCTTGTTCTTTGAGTCAGAGAGTTCACTGAACCCAGAGCTCACTTCTCTGGGTCGCCTGGCTGACTAGTGAGCCCCAGAGACTCCCTGTTCCCATCTCTCCAGCGCAAGGATTACAAGCACATGCCACCATGCCTGACTTGTTTTTACATGGATCCTGAGGGATCGAACTCAGGTCCTTGGGATTATGAAACACACACTTTACTGACTATGCTATCAACTCGGCGCTTAGCAGCTCTTTATTGAGACTATGTGGGGTAGACACTGAGTGCAGAGCAGCCCCTGAGTGCTGATCAGTCCCAAAGGCAGGAGAAACAGTCGTAGCCTTATTTCAGGCAGACTAGTGTGTGGTGAGCACTCTGCCACGGTTGTATGTTATGAGCTCCATGCCAACCAGATTGATTCAATGCCAGGGACACACAGGACCCATGATTTATGGGTTTGGAAGCCAAAGACTCACACACAGGAAAACACTAGGTATGCCAAGATATGTTTCTATGGGTGCAATTAATGCAGAGGAAATAAGGGATCAGCTTCTGCATTCTCCTCATCCCACATGACACATCAGCGTAATAACAGCGTTGAAAAGAAGTGAAAGACAGAAACAAGGGAAGCCTGAGAAGGGAAAAGGAAGTAATGATTGGAGAGAAATGGGCATTAACCCAGTGCTTTAACCTGGTAGTTTTCTAGCACAAAGTAGGTTTCTTCCAAGCAAGGGCACCACTTAAATTATTGGGGGAAAATGTTTCTCTAGAATTACTTAGAATTAGAATGCAGCGAAGCACATGTCCCCAGACTTGTGAATGAGGTGGGATGGAGACTGAACAGAGAGAAGGGAAGCTGAATGTCGGCTATTAGTCTTCCAAGCCTCTCACTTCCTTATTAGCACTTGCTGCCTGCTGAGATTCTCTGCTTAATCTCAGCCATGATTCTGTCTTAAGTACCCCTCCTTAGGTCTACAGTAATGATATTCTCTTTGCCTTTCCCTTCCTATATTTTCTATGTATCCTTCTCCTTGCTCATTAAAGATTTTAATGTCTGCTATGTATGAAACACCATACTGGATTCTGTGACAATGAGGGAACATCAAGATGGATGTAGCCTAGTCTCAACCATCAGATTTCTAACAAGACAAGAAATTGCATGCACACCCCCACACACCCAAACACAAGTCCCTGTGCTCTGAAATAGGCCATGCTAAAACGTGCAAAGTGTTAAATGTTTACTTCTGAAGTGACAGAAGAGGGCCAAAGAAATTTCTACCCACCAGATCTTAAATGACGAAAGGACGTGGAGTGGCCAGGTAGGGAAAGAGCAACACAGACATCTAATACTGTGGATGAAGATGAGAACTGAGACCGGAGAGAGGAATCAGTGGGTCAGCCCCAGGAGGGACGGTACTATACTTATGGGGATGGGTCTCAAAGCGGGCCACTGCCTTCATCAAAGGTGACACTTAGAATGATCACACAGCCTGTGGATATGAAGTCCATGTTCAACCCCTACCTTGAGTCCACTGTACTCTGCCTGCTGAACTCTGTCTCCTTCTTGCTCTCCTGAACCAATTCATAGGCCCGGGGGCCAACAGCACCAAGAATAGACAAGAAAGAGGGAAAGGTTGGTTTGAAACAGTCACCTGTCTATAGATAACAGCCACTGCTAGAATCCCAGGCAACATAGTATACAAAACAGCCAACAGAAATAGGCAATAAAATACAGCCCACTTGAAAGCAGATGAATTTGCTGGAGAAATTGAAATGGAGAAACTATGCAGGCGGTCTTGCCCCACAAGATTGAACATTCGATCAGCTACCTCCCAAGTGTTGCGATGACAGGCGTGCACCACCAGGCCCAGGGTATGTGGTTCTGGTGATCAAACCCAGGGCTTTGTGCACACCCAACAAGCATTCTTCCAGTTGAGCAGAGTCCCATCCTAACAAAGGCATTCTTTTTCAACATTATCTTTTAAATGATTCTTCATTACAAAATCTATTTCCAGTAGATTTTTAAAATAGTTTCCTTCATTGGTCTTATGCCCAAGATGAATTTATTTTTAAATTATCAGCAGGGTGATGATGAGGGTTAGACAGCTGCTGTGGGAAATGAAAAGCAGGTTTCACATTAAAATGATACCAAAAAAATAAAAACCTTTCAGGAAATGCTTGTGTCTTTCAGTCCTTAAAAAGTTCTCGGGCATCATTTTTCTAAATCTGTGGATATTTTTGTAAAGAAGGAGAAGATTGGTTTGTTTCTAAAAACAACTCAAGTTTCATTCCTATCCTTCTTGGTAAGGACTACCTTATAATGAATATGTATCAAGTCATATTTCTACTTTATATACTTGCTCATTCTAGACTGTCAGGAGCCCTCAGCAGACATTGAATCTGCCAGCAACTGACCTTGGACATCCCATCCTTCCCAAGTATAAGAAATAAATCTGAGACATTCACAGATACTCAGTTGGGGGTATTTGTTATAGAAGCCCCATTGAACAAAGACAATCGTGATAGCAATTATGCCCTTATTTTACAAATGGAAAAACAGGGGGACAGAGAGAATCAGAAATGTATGAAGTAAATCATGAGTGCACAGTAGGCCCAGGCAGTCTGACATGGATTAGGAGCACAGTCCATCTTCCTAATCACCACTGTGGAATGCTGACTCCACACTGGTTTCCCAATAGTGGCAGGCTACACTGTTCACACATGTTTTTGTTTGTCTATCAGATATAGAAGTATTCCTATCCATCTTTTGCTGTGGATGACTGATTGATAAATAAAGTGCTGATTGGCCAGGAGCCAGGCAGGAAGTATAAGCAGACAAGGAGAGAGGAGAATTCTGGGAAGTGGAAGGCTGAGGCAGAGAGAGATGCTGCCAGCCACCGCCATAAGGAACATGATGTAAGATGCTGGTAAGCCACAAGCCACGTGGCAAATTATAGATTTATAGAAATGGGTTAATTTAAGATATAAGAACTAGATAACAAGAAGCCTACCACAGCCATACAGTTTATAAGTAATATAAGTCTCTGTGTGTTTGCTTAGGTCCAAGTGGCTGCGGGACTGGTAGGTAAGAGAGATTTGTCCTGACCACGGGCCGGACAGGACTAGGAAAACTTCAGCTACAATCTTTATGTCTCAGAATTCTACCTGCCATAGTATGTGCTCAAGGAAACAGTGCTAAATTAATCAATGAAAAGTTCTTCTTTAGTGCAGTCTTCACACATGGAGAGAGAGAAAAGGAGAAGGAGAAGTGGGGGGAAGAGGAGAGAGGGAAAGAGAGCGGCATCAGAACCAAAAACCCGACAATCACCCTGTGAATTAATCCAGAGCTTTGGACTGCAGCTGCTAGAATCCAACATACACTAACTCAAGAAATACAGAACCAGACAAAGAGAAATTCTGGAACAGATCTGGTTACACAGGCATTGGCCCCCAAAATTGTATTTCTCCCACCTCAAGGATTCTCTTCAGTACTAGCTTCAACTTTGGCAGGCTTTTCTTTTGTAACAAAGATGGCCACCAACAGCTGATGTTAGCATTGCTTTGTGATTTGCCTGTTTCTTGTGTGGTAGGGCTGGGGACCCAGTTTGAATTTGCAATCCCGTGAGGGATTCTGGCAGAAGGCTCAGCTGTGATAGCCATCTGACTACAATTGGTCCTGAGCCTATCTCTCAACCAGTAATTAGCCAAAGGGATGCACAGTTCCCGTCTGTCATGACTGCATCCCATCCACCCCTGGAGCTGGAAGGAGTCTCACTTAAAATTCCTGTGCCCAGGTTGGGAACAAGACCGTTTCTCAATGGAAAATAAAGGTGCTGAGTCGAAAAGACGAATTCTTGGTGAATCAGCAATCAGCTGTTTCCATACACAGTCAAACCCCCTTTTGTCTATGTGATGCACAATATGTGTGTCACTAGAATGTCTCTTCTCTCTGGAACACTTAGAATTGACTGGACACTCCACACAGTCTGACCTGGAGTCTGTGATGACTCAGTTCTACTGTCTGTCATAGTCCTGGCCTCCACTGATACTTTAAATGAAATAATCTTATTCTCAATAAATCTCCCCACTGCAACACCCTCCCCCCACCAAGATCTGACTTTTTTACCTCAAGTTACTTGGAAGATTCAACAAGTCTCTTAAACACAGATTTTTTTAAAAAGAGAGAGTGTTAGGGAGGCATCCTTTAAGATCAATTGCTTTCACCCAGGCTCAGGGTGACATCTGGGCCTGGGCTGCTGCCTAGGGCCAAGTCTGGGTCCATGGTCCTACTGTAGTCTGGGTCTGTGTTGACATCCACGACCCATGTTGCCTCCAAGGCCATGGGGATACCCAGGGTCTAGGCCACCACCTGGGCCGTGTTGGTGTCCAAGGGCCATGCTGCCACTGGAGTCATGTTGATCTGAGTGGCCTGTACTGCAACCTGGAGCCATGGTAACATCTGAGCCCAGGCTGCTCATGAGGACCATGTGTAGGTCCCTGGTCCTACCACAGCCAGTGTCTATATTGATGTCCATAGACCTTGGTGCCATCAAAGGCCACACAGATGCCCAGGGTCTAGGCCTCATCCTGTGGCCATGTTGGTGTCTGAGGGCCACATGCTGTGGCCATGTTGGTGTCTGAGGGCCACATGCTGTGGCCATGTTGGTGTCTGAGGGCCACATGCTGTGGCCATGTTGGTGTCTGAGGGCCATGCTGCTGCTGGGGTCATGCCGATCTGGGTGGCCTGCACTGCCACACAGGGCCATGGTGTCATCTGGGCCCCCTCTGCTGCCTAGGAATATGGCTGGGTCCATGGCCCAGCAGTAGTCAGGGTCTGAGCTAATGTCCATCAAGAGCTATGCGGAT